GGCAACCGCGGGAAATCACGAGCCGGCAAGATGTGGTCATCTTGTCCGCTCGAGTAGCCAGTCAGAATAGAGGATTCGCTTTATCTTGCTCGCTCGCGAATTCAGTCATATTATAGAAAGCCTTAAAAATAAAAACTGAGCCAGTCGTCGAACTCATCATGGACTTAACTCATTAAGTGAAAAGTTCGACGTTTGGCCCAGGCCTTAGAAAGTCATGAACATACAATTAAACCCTTTGCTTTTTCATAGTGTCATCAGGAGTAGTTATCTTGGTATCATACTTTATATTTGTAGCTATTTAGTTTTCACAAAGTCGTAAGCATAGCACGACTCCTTTCGGTTTTCTTTTTGAACATCTAGTCGGCGAGGGATCTCTGCGGACGGAAGAGTCAACAAGAAAGCGTAAAGTGCAACAGACGACTGAAGGTACGCTAAAAGTTATTAGACTCATGTAAATCATTCCTTTATACTGCAAAATTCCAAAATTAATGGCTCCCATTTATATTTGTTTTTATAGTGAAACGCCGAAATGATCACGGATTTAAATTGTGTTGATTGTGAAATCATCATGTAATGAAGCTTTAAATTTACTTAACAAACTTCACTGGTTCGTGGGGCGGAATTTTCAGTACTCTACCGTCTTCAGTTTTTGTATTTGAAAAAATGAATTGGAATACACCTGTGCATCGAAAAGAATCACCGTCCTTAGTGGAATGTTAAGAGCTGGGGGGGGGATCCAGAAAATTCAGAAGGGGGTGGCCGGAACACATAGTAGCTCTATTCTAGATACTTTTGATTTTTCTGAGACGGAATCCAGTATAAAAATAACACAAAATTTCAAAAGAAAAGGGGTAGCCGCGGCCCCATCGGCCCACCCCTAAATCCGCTAGTGAACAGTAATGTTGCAAGACATTGTTTGAACTAAATTGCCAAGACTCCACAAGCCAAAACTAATGCTATTTGACTGGTGGGAAGTATTGTTTTATGAAATAAGCGTTTAAGTGGACCATACCTTTCAAAGAAAATCGCGTCTAGTGAAAATTTTGCTGATTTTTATATAACCTTTATGTTAAGAGGGTGTCACCAATTACTATGAAAAGTATTCTCCCTAGTGGCCCTCTAAAAACAAAATTGCTTATAATAAATTACAACTAACCATCATGATAAAAACCCTATTTACAAAGAGTAATTATAATAAAAGATCTTAAAAATTCTAGAGATTTTCTTTGGTAAAAAAGGGAATCCAATCTACAATGATATTAAAAAAGCACGAATTTTTTAAAAATCAGAATAACTTTTTAACTTTAAAATTGTCCACCGTATAGTTTGAGGTGGCGTTTTTAGTCAGTGTTGTCTTCATTAAGTTAAAGGAGGTGGTTGGTTCTAAGTTAAGAGCATTTAGTTCTTTAATAGTGAAATAAAAGAATGTTCTCCTCGTTGCTTCAGTTCTGGGTTTCGGTAAGCGGTATAATCTTTTTGTTCTGGTAGAGTACTTGTGTTCAAACCGAAGTGAGTCCAAGGTTGTAATTAAATATTCCTGTGTTCTACCATCGATAACTTTCTTTAAAATGCCTAGTTTATTGAGCTTGAATAGTTGATCAACCGGTAGCCACTTAAGCTTTTAAAAATTATAATAAGATCGTGCATCCCGAGGACTATCCAAAATTAATCGAGCGCAGCGTTTTTGAAGTTTAACAGTTCGTCTAAGTTGGTTTCGCTACAGTTGCTCCAAACAGTACAGCAATAAGTAAAGAGCGGTTTGATACTTGCATTGTAGAGAAGCAATCGATATTTGGTTGGTATATATTTCCGAGCTCTTGCTAAAATTGCAATTCTTTGAAGAAGTTTTCGGCGCAGTGTGTCAATGTGTTCGTTCCAGGTGAGATGACTATCAATATATACTACCAAGATACGTTCTGACTCAGCCTTAGTGAGTTGCATGCCGTCAACTGAAAGGTCAAGAGATTGTTTTGCTGAATTTGCAATTTTTTGGCTGAAATATTTGGAGCCAGCCTTAACTTATACAATAAGTGTGACAAAGACATTTTAGAGAAAGTCCGTAACTGGTGTAGTCCTTCAAAATTCAGTTGTGAAATTGTTTTGGAATTTCGGCAACGAGAGTTGCTCTGGATACGCAAAACGAACCACCCAATTCGGAAGTGAGAGTTTTTGGAACTCGGAAATGGCCTGAAGTGTTAGTACATTAACCCTAGCCTGATGAGGAGTTCATTGTCACAGGTAGTCACATGACCAACCGCAACCAGTTTTCTTTCGCGAGGCAAGAGGAAGAATCCTGGGAATCAGGTTGTAGGCGGCTGTAACAGGAGCACAGGCAAAAAATGCAAGTTGTTTACCCACCAAAACACGTTAGAGTTTAAACCTGTCGGTGTGCTAGTCCAAATCGAATTGGAATTTGGAGGAATTTGGAAGTGTTGATTTTTGAGTAGAGGCCGGAAAACCGGAGTATCAGGAGAAAAACCTGGGAGCAAGGAAGAGAACTAACAACCAACTTAACCCACATATGGCGTCGACGTCGTGACTTGGGCGCGGGCCACACAAATTATCAGGGACTTTACGATCGGACGACGCGACGACAGCGAAAACGTCAATTCAAAAATGAATTTGCGTTCTTTCGGTCTTTTTCGCGATTATTCCAACTCATTTACTTTGTCAAATGTAGGCGAACCCTCCCGGAGTTGAATTTCTAAGAACCACATTCAAGTTTAGAAAGAGAATAATATTTCGTCGTCGTTCGTTTATGTCCTTCCTAAACAGTAAAATTAGGCAATTTCACGTCGTAGTTGTGCAAAAACGACAAAGGAATGTACAAAAACGTGCGATGCACGTGCAAAGTTGTTGTTTTGCCTACTAAACCTATTGTTGTTTTTGACGTTCTCGTTGCCGTCGCGTCGTGGGATCGTAAAGTCCCTATTCTCACCACTGCGCAGCCGTTTCATCCCACCGTATGCTTGAGTAGATGTCTGAGTCTTAGTAGATACTGTTAAACAAACAATAATTGTTATATTTTCAGAAACTGATGAACATAAAATTAAATTATCCGTTGTTTTTTTTTTATAACTAGTCGTTGAAGAGTCTTCACGAATGAGAAAGAATCTTGAAAGGCGCAAAGTACGGCGGAGAGATAAAGGTAGGCTGAAGTCTGAACGTTCACTTGAATCCATGCAATCCTAACAAACATACAACAGAAATACCACCTTGCATTTGAGTAGCGTCTTATCTTCGTAGTTACTGCTTATCAAATAATATTCACAAGAGTATTTTTCAGCCTAACATCAGCCAAAAAATAAGAATTATTATTCTGCTTGCGCCGAAAAAAACAGTCTTTATTTTCTTAAAAAAGATTGTAAGTCAGTAACATGGTTAAAAGAGACCCTTCCTGGAGTGCAAAAAAAAAGCAGTGAGGCAAGAAACAAATCATTTGGGTTTTAGTTTTGATTTTAGTTTTCGTTTCAAGATGTTTTTTTATCATGCAAAAATGTATGGGCTTACATCTTTTTCCAAAAAACATTATACGTCATATTCAATATTCGAAAAACACTTACGATAAAGGTAATTGTATTAGAAGTGTTTCAGTTTTTTTCTAGTGTTTGTCTGTGGCTTAAATGTTAACAAGGGGCGGACCATTAGAAAAGTAATTGGGGGTTGGGGATTTTTATTGCACGAATTTTGTTTCGGCCAAGTAAGGTCAGGTAACTGTATATAGTTTTCTTTTTTTGGTGAAATCCTTGGCAAGAATTTTCTTTGGACATATACATGTCATTTCATTTTTTCTTCAAAAAACGTTAAAAATCACAGATAGCATACAACGCCCTTTTTACATGCAGATACTTGTGATGTCTTGTATAACAAGACACGACAATTTCAGCAATTTTTTGCCCGATGAGTGGAGGCTTCCTATGAGACCCCTTTCAAAATAGATCCTGGGAAATGAAATTTCCTACATTCTCTCACTGCGTTCATTCGCCATTTGCACATCTCCCATAATATAACCTGACATCAGGATCTATTCTCTTTTCGTTTGGTAAGTAAAATTTTAGCCTGCTGGCGGGAAAGGAAAAGCGCGACTACGTAAGATTAGATTGTATGGAAGCTGCTAAAATTGGGCCTGATCTCAGGTTACCCATAATAAACCCTGTTTGCCCCCCCCTGAAATTTTGCATAACTTTTTAAAATTCTCCTGGGTAGAAATTGAAGACAATGCTTATGCAAAATTTTGGGGGCAAACAAGGTGTATTATGGGAGATGTGCAAATGGCGATCAACAATTTTCTTTGGAATATGGTGTTTTTAACGAAAAATAGATTTGAAAACGACAAACAGATAATTGTTGTTCTTTCCTTCTTTATAATCTCTCAGAAGTAGGAAAATAGTTTGCGGTACTGAGGCCGTGTGGGTTGCTATAGACTTCAGGTGCTAGTAGACGCCACGTAGTACTGGAGAGCGAACTGCTTCACAGTAGCTTCCTCCAAACATTGTCCGTTTTATAATGTTGTTTTGAAGAAAATTAGCACGGTACAGATGAGGCCAAGAAAGTAGAAATCTCGTTCACCTTACACGTTTTTCACCCCATTCTGAAATTGGGGCGGATTGTAAAGACTTGTAGATCGATGCGGGATGCAGGAATTCTTTTCAACGCTAATCCGCGAAATTTTCCCCTTCCACGAATGTTTTGTACTTCGCCCAATCTACTCCCTCCCCACCCCCCCCCTCCCCCCATAACGTTTACGTGTCTAATCGTCCGTTCCTAATACCTGCTTCAACTCTTGAAGGATTTTGCGTACGGAAACTTTAATATCGGAAGATTGGATATTGGGCCTAAACGAATGTCAAGAAAAATATCTGCTAAAACAGCATATGTCCCTAGAATTATCCTCCATTCTTTTGTGTTTGACCTTTTCATGTAATAGTCACAACAACAAACAATAAAAAGATGGTAAGAAAAGTGGAAATCCATGTCTCTTGGACTTGAAACTGCATCAAATGTTTTCGTATTTAGTTCCGAGAGAGATCAAAGCACAAGGACCAGAAGCGAAGCTTGCTTATGAAAATGCCTTGAAGACTGGAAAGGTTAAGGTGTACCGTGCTCGAATCATGCTGATCGGTCAAGATCGAGCGGGCAAGACAAGCTTAAAAAAGTCGTTCTTAGGTCTACCATTTAACCCTGAGGAAGACAGCACTGATGGAATTGAAGTTGACCCTTCAAAATTCGAAGTCGACATCGATCAAGTAAAGAACTGGAAACTCACCGATAAAAAGCTAAGTGTGTCTCAATTTGCCCTTGATCTTGCAAAAATGGTGGCTAAAGAAATACAGGAACGAGATAAAGACAAAGAAGTTGCACAAGAAGTTATTGAAGAGGACAGCGACGACGACTACGAGAAAGGAAGAGAAAAACAGAGAGGAAAAAAATCAAAGCTGGATGACTACAAATCAAAGCAGGATGATCCTGATGAAGATACAAACAAACAGACAAAAATGGGTCAGGTTGGTGATAGAAAACAACCCTAAATTAAAATAAAAACAAATGAAATCAGGAAGAGAAAAAAAGGAAAGAGCAACAACAAAAAGAAAATCCTCATACCTTAACAGACTACAATGGGTACTACACGATAAAAAATTCAATGGTCCACGTAGCTGGCGAGTGTTCTAGTTTTTTCTCGAGAAGGTTGGGATTTCCCTCGAGGCTTCTCCCAGGAGCTTCTACGTGGCACAAGAAAGTACCCCGGGCATAACAATCCCGCCGGCTACACAGGCTGAAAAATTCACTAGCTTGGTTATATTCATCCAATTGCAAATAACCTGCTGTGGACTAGAATAGCAATCATCAGACACTATTATTGGATTGTTTATATATGTTGCGGTTCAATTTTATCATCTTGGTTTTAATTTTATTTCCCTTTGTTTTAAAATCATTATCATACTTTACCATACCCAAAGACAAAGGGGAATAATAATTAAACCAAGGATAAAATAGGCCACTTCCGAGTTCCAAAAACCCTCACTTTCAAAATGAGGCCAAGTGCATAATCTTTCAAAACTCATTTCCTCTGTGAGGAAATGAGTTTTATTTGCATGGGAATGAAAAATCATTTCCATATCAAAGGCTGAGCACTTAACCTCGTTTTGATACAGAGGCCCGGGGGAACTCGGAAATGGCGTATTAAACCACAACATATGCATGTATGTGAAAAAAGCAATTTGTCAGTAATCTGTTAAGTTTATGGTGTTTCTCTGTTGTCAACCTGAAATGACTAATGTATTTATTTTTATCAAAACTTGTAGTCTGGTCTTAACTCTCCTGGAGAACCTCGATTGTCAAAACCGCCAGTGGTTAACTCTCAAATGAATCAGGTAAGGCGTTTTCTCTGGTTGTAGCCTTAAATACTCCAAACCTGTCAAAAGAATTCAAGAAAGTGAAATTTTTACACACACCAGCCCAGGTTTCAATTTTAAATTTGGCTAGGCTTTATCAGAAGATAACGGAAAAAATGATTACTATAGTATGTCGTTAGCTAACTGGAATGTAAAAGAAAAAGGAAAATTTAACGTTGTTGCAGATCCAGTTTTCTGTTTTTCTTTCTCTTTTCTTTTTTTTTGTTGATATTTTTCGAAAAGCGGTTTACAGTAGGACCGTCTCTCTCCTCTTCTGACTTTAAGGTTTGATCATCGCAAATTAGGCTTTATTGTACCAAGGCGTCCTCACTGTCCCATTACAGTAAGGCGAAAGAACAGTGGGAGTTGTAAAGATTGTGAGTCGTCTCTTAAAAACCTATTTCCTGAAAAGTTTCTTTATCCTTGGAGTAAAAGAAGGGGGAAAACAAAGTGGTGTGTGACGGAATGTGGCTTTTCTTTAAAGCAAAAACTTAATGAACTTACGTATAGTGTACGTTAAAGGGTTTGGTGAATAGTGTTATTTTTTTCTGGCTAACTCCAAGCACGTGAATTTCATTCGGTCATAATCTGCTGAACAATAAACGTCGTTTTTTGCAAGTACAAATATGTACCCGGGTGTATTAACAAAGCGAGTACCTTAAAAGCAACTCGCTAACTTCTTAACTATCACTTGACTTTAAATTTTGACATGTTGGAAAGTTTGGGGACTGTAAATAGAAGCTAACCTTTTTCAAATTAATGTCTTTTAAGAGAGGATCTTGTGCTTATCTTTTAACATTACAGGTCAGTGCTCCACCCCTAGTGGCTATTTTTTACCTATTCAGAGCTTTATATTTCCTGTGTATTTACTGTAATGAGTAGTATAATGAATTACAGAGTGTAACCCTCACATAGTTTTAACTCTTCGTCCATCAGTCTTACCTTGCCAAGGGTACCTCGCGCTTTGCTTATTTCCAGTTGTCCATCTTGCGCGATCTCTAGCAGCGTGGCTTGAAATTATATACATGTTTAAAAACTGGAAGGGTGCTTTTATCAAGATTCACTTGGGAACGCAGTTCAGTTGGTACTAACAGATATTGATGTTGAAATATCTCGTGTAGAATATCGGCCCTTTGTTCTAAGAGACAAACTGAATGAAAACATCGTCGCTTGCAAAACCCCCTATGTACATATTTTGTCCTAACTGCCCAAAAGGTACATGTTAACCAATTTAAACAATTTAAACAATTTAGGACACATCCAGGAATGCCAGTAAAGAGACAGAAACAGGAGCCCCAGCGGTTGAATTAAACATCGACGCTACTTCGCCCCCAGAAGAATTTACGGATTATCTTGATCAACTTTTGAAAGGTCTAAACCTTCAGACTGATGCAACGACAGTTGAAAATCACATGATCCTTGATCTGTGGGACTTTGCTGGTCAACAGCTGTACTATGCGTCTTACCCAGTTTTTTTATCGCCACGAGCAGTTTACATGTTGGTTTACGATCTCAGCAAAGGATTAAACGACCCAGCTCAACCTTGTTTTAAACAGGGAGATGAGGAAACTTTTCTCGGTAACCCAAATGAGGAAACGAATATGGAAAATTTGTTGTCTTGGCTGGTTTCAGTCAGCAGCATTTGTTCATCAGAATCAGAAAAGGTAGTGGAAGGTCTGCCTCACTGTCGCCCTCCAGTGTTCATTGTAGGGACACATTCGGATAATTATAAACAATGTGAAGAAGAGATCACCAAGATCAAGTCGCATATTCAGAAGGAAATTAAAAAAAACTGTAAAAATGTAATCCGCCCCATCTTCTGTGTTGACAATACTCAAGGATCATCTGATAGGGGAGTTAGTGCGCTCCAGAAACGCATGATTGAAGTTTTGAAACAAGAACCATACATGGGAGAGGAGATACCAATTCGGTGAGTTTTTAGTGGAGAATTCTGAAAAAAGGTTTATAACTCTCCAGTTTTCTCTAATGTATAACAATATTGACTGAAAATGATAGAACTCTGATAACAGATGTTTAAGTGGTTTAACGTAGAAGCAAACTCACACCAAAACTGAGGGTCTCATCGTCTAGCTTCGTCTTACATGAGGAGGAGATGGTTGCAGTCCCTAGAGTTGTTGTTATGTTATGATCTCCAAGATAACGCTAATACCTATAATTTGCTGGTGCAACTGGTCATTTTTTTTTATGGTGTAGGGAGGGCAGGTGGGATTTGATGCGTGTTTCCTGAAACATTATAATGACTCCCCCCGTCGCTTACACCACTACACTTCATTAGAAGTTTTTTTACTTGGTCCATTGTAGTCCTTATTATTTGGGACGAGCCTTCCCCTCCGCCTCTTCCACGTGAAGAACAAACGAAAAATGATAAATGAATTTAAAATTAATGTCTACTCAATTTCATCAAACATTGTTGCCTGGAATCAGTCTGTACAGAGTATTAAAAGTAATTTTCTTGTAGGAACACCGACTGATATCCTTCCTGGAAAATTTTAAAATTCGAACGTTTCTTAAATAACGCAGTTTGACGCTTTCTGAAGTGCGGCATAGATCAACAATTAGTGACCTAAAAAGAAAATATAGTGTGGTACCACGATGTTTTACTTTTGCGTGTCAGTGATTTGTAAAACACAGGGAAGCGTGCAACAAATAATAATTTAAAAAAAAACATCGAAATGTCCATAAAGCACGACTTGTAGCCAAGATTCATGTGTAGTACGGTCAATGTGGAGGTGCTTCATTTGATAGGGCCTATCAAATTCGTCTTAATTCAAGGGGAACGCACTTGTAGCAATTTTCTTCCAAATAAAAAGAAGAAGACCTTAACTTTTTTCCTTGTTGATTTATAAAGAAAAGAGTCTAAGAAGTATAAGTAATTTAATGACTTATAAAAACAGCTATCCTGCCTTCCATTTACCTTATTATTCCTTTTCAGATGGTTCAACTTCGAGAAGGTTGTCAAAGCTTTGGTTGCCAAGAAAGTGTACTGTTTAAACACGGAATTAGTTCAGACCATTATCCAGAAACATTGCTTCATTGAAAACAAGGAGGAGGTTGCCACTATGTTGAATTTCTATCATGACCTCGGCGTGATTGTCAAACATGGCAACACAGTTATACTTCAGGCTGAATGGCTTATTAAACTGTTCAAGCAACTCATAACCCTTCGCAAGTTTGAAAACATGGTAAGAAGAAAACATCAGTTGCATTTCCACACCCTCAAACTACAGTGTGGCTCTGACTTAGAATACGATCTGACTAGTCCTAGTCAGCTTTGGAGTCGCTTATTGCGTTCTGTTAGTGCTGTACTGATTGGTTCAATTGATTCTACTTTCAGCGTCCCCACCTACCTTGGTACTGCCACGGTCCTAAAAATAAAGTTCACTATATCTCTTTAAAAGTCTGAATCGTGCAATTCAACTTGAATTAACTGGACACCCTCTATTAAGCGGAAAGTAGGCAAAGTCTTTTACAGTATTGTTTCTAATTATATTTTGTTTGTATAGAGCTTACTTTACTCATTTGATCTTCTAAAATTTGAGGTATAATCTTCGTATATGAGCGGACTAATTATTAGTCCACTCACATAAAGAAATTAATGCAAACATGTATTGTCATACTCTCAGTCTCTAGGAGTATTCCGAACGTTTCCACCATTCATTTTAATTTAACTCCTAACATGACATTGTCTATGGAAAGCTGTATGAAGCGGACACTATAGCATTCCCCGAGAGTGTCCGCTTAATGCAGGTTTCACTGTATCTTGTTGCCAGAAAACGTTTTCTTCTTTAGTGGATCCTCCCTTGGTATTATCGCTACTTCACGTGTGTGTTTTATTTTTCATTGTCGTTGCTTTTTAGTTACCAAAGCATAGTGATTTGTGGGACGAAATGGAGAGTACTGGTGTTCTCAACATGGAACTTGTTGAACATGTGTTTTCCGAGTTTTGCCAGCAAGGAGTAGTCAAGGAGGATATCCTTAAACTGATGATGAGGTTTGGATTGATCGTGTCATTTGCTCTCTCACCAACAGAAGAAAAATATTTTGTACCATGCCAACTAAGGTCACCTCCCGACATCCTCTGCAAGAAGGAGCCATCGCCTGAAGATCCATGTCCACTGTACCTTGACTTTCAGCGAATGGGCTACGTGCCTCATGGTCTTTATTTACAGCTTGTGTCACGATGCATCGAATGGTGCTCTACGAGTGGATTCAAGGAACCCCCTGAATTGTACGATGGGGCATCTCTGTTTTTCATTGGGAAGGAGCTCACTCACCATATGATACTTGTGTGCAAGAAAAGATTCATAAAGATCGTTTTGAAGCAAATAAAGCGAAATGATGGGTCTTCATGTGAGCCGCTATCAGCAAAAGAAGTACCGATTCTGATACGAACATTTTTTAATGAGATGATGCAAGATCTACCAGAGGCACTTCCCTGGTTTAAAAATGTAGCTTACGAACTGTGTGTAAAGTGTCCTTACTGCCTGAAAGTGGAAAAACCATGTAATAATCATGGCCAATTCCCTTGCCACGACGAGCGCTGTTTGTGTCTTAAGACCGTTAAGCCAGATGGATCTTTCAGGTACTGTAGAGGGAGCCTTTGTGGTGAACTTCTTTCAATTCCTGAACTCAAAAGGTGGTTCTCGATTAGCAGAGAGGATTGCTCAATCCAAGGTGGGGCGGATATGATAAAAAAATGATTTCCTAAAATTTTTAAGTCTTAATTATGTGAATTTGTGTTTTGTTTTACTAAGTAACATGGCCGTAGTTTATCAATAGAGGTAGATTCCACTATTTCGCCTAATATTGCAATAATACAATTGTAGGTATGGACACTCGATCCTATTTAGCCATTGTGTATGTCCATTTAGATTGCACCCAGTGTTCCCCTTCAAGTTTTGGCCTTTTCGTACTTGCAGTATTAGGAGGAAATGTTGTACCAGTACTGCTAGGCCTGTCAGAAACTGTTTCTTTGAAGTTTGGGTTGGGTTACAACCGCCTCGTATCGCTGCTTATCGATAGTTTTCGTCCACAGCAGCTGGAGGCGATCAGAGATGGCAGAATTTACCTTGCAAAAAGCCCCGTCAATCAAAGTAGTCCCAACATTTCATCACAACATGTGTTGATGTGACCATGTTGTGAGCCGAAATTCATTACATCTGTTGTATTTACGTTGCAGAAAAGCTCTTGCCACGACAGGGACTGGGACGAGTTAACTTTTGCGAAGACTTCTGGGACTGCAACTGGGGACAGGGGAACAAAACTGGCCAATAACTGACCGGTGTGCCCCCAGTAACGATCCCAGAGGTCTTTAGCACTAGTTAACTCGACCCAGGGACCCGTTTCTCGAAAGTTCCGGTAGCTGTACGGGCTGGAAAAGATGCTTTATGTTTGTCATATTTGCATTCAAGATCAAAGTTTCAAAAATTTTGAAAATGATACAATGAAACAATTAGTTAACGAAACAAAATTGACTGGTGTGTGTTCTACTATTCAACAGATTTTTATTTAAAAATTTGCCTTTGGGCTCGAAAAGCCAACTAGCCTTTTGAGAAACGGGCCCCTTTTGTAAAGTGACAAATAGAAACATTGTTGTCATAATTTTCTTTAACTAGATACGTCCGAAGAAGAGGTGGAAACACGTACTGTATCTCAGAAAAGGTTGCCCACTTTCATTCCCCAGTTTCCTGACCAAAAAGATTATCAAGGTAGGATTTTTTAGGCTTGTTACTAAAACGGGGAACGGGAAAATGAAAAACAGGAACAAAACCTAACTTGAACCCCAGCAACCTCGTTCCCAGGTTCTCTCTCCTACCCGTCGAGAGTCCGTAGGGACGGAAGGGAGAGAACCCTGCGAACGAGGTTGGAACCGCAGCCCTATCAGTACTTTCATTACCAGTTCTCTGTGGCCGCCTGTGATCGTACAAGGATAAAATCACCTCTAAGGCGATTGAAAAATATCGGTATGGTCTCCGAAAAACTGTATCGAAACATTTTTTTAAAATTGTAGATGTAATATATCAACAACGACTGCGAGGGTTTCATATGTGGAAGGAGTAATTTAGTAAGTGGATGACAATAAAAAGCAAAATAGGCATCATTTATTGGCCGGGCACTTCATGAATTATTAATGAGTTTGAGAAATCATTTATAACCATTGCAAGAAAGGTACCAAATGTATGTTTAAGACTGCCTACAATCCATAAAAATATTAATAAAGTTCAAGCTCCTTTACTTGCACTTAATATGGCTATGATATAAATATAAATTTGCTAAATATTATCGAAAATATGTTAAAAATTGCCAAAAATGTGTGGGTTGTTAAAAAAGAAAACAACAACGTTTAGGTTCCTTAGCTTAACTTCTTATGTGTCGTTTTCTATCCAGTTCTGCTTGAAGTTTTTCCTGAATTTGCCAGCTTCGGTGTCGTGCATTTCTTTCGTTTCATTTTCCGAGCCTCTGTGTTTCCACTCCTTCATTTTTCCAGCCTTTGTAGAGGAGAAATTAGAAAGGTTATAATTACTGAGTACATGTGAGCACAGCATGCAAATGGCGTCACCAAAATTCAAAGTAAGAAACTATCGATTCTTCTGAGTTTCTACTTTAATGAGGTGTTACAGCACCTAAAGACTTTTAACGTTATGCACTTATGACGTCATAAATTCCCTGCTGTGAATGAGACATTGAAACTGATTCATATGTCATGCGTATAAGAATATTTTGTTTGGTAAAGACGCGTTCGCCTGCAGTGTTAGGTCGTCTTTGAAGAGTTTTATTGTCAAAATAAATAAATCCTGGTCTACTCTTGGTAGCAGCAGGACTGTTTTGTAATGCCAGCACTATCCCGCAGCATTCATGTCTCTAGGCAGTCCTCCCATAACAATTGGGATAACTTTTACCATCTTTATCTTCCAGATAGCTATTTAATCTCAAGAGCCAGGTCAAAGTATTTGCATGGTGACCTTTTCCTCTTGTTTGTGTCAACTCTCCTGTGACTTTTGTATGTAACGTCAATGATAAGGCAATTTTTTGTTGTGTTTATCTACTAGCACGATGTCAGATATTTTGGCAGTTCGTAAATATTATTTTATATTTTTGCAGTTCGTAATGGCGAATTTAAGTTCTATAATATGTTCTGTGGCGAGCTCACTTCTTGACAACAAATCCAGAGTAAATGGTGGGACTTGATCTCGGGCCCCAAGATTGCAATTCCAACGCTCTAACAAACCGCTCAGCTACATTGCCTCCTCATAAACTGAGGAGGCAACTGTAATGATAGTTAAACTACCTGGTTACCCCTATAAAGATTATATTTTATAAAGAAGTTTTATGTTATTGATTAATACTGAACAATTTTTGTCAATTATTTATAGGGAAGCAGAATTTACAGGGCAAACAGGAACAAAAGAAGGATAAAACCCTAATCCATCAGTGAGTACTAGAACCTCGGCCGGTTTTGTGCTACTTCTATCTTAACAAATCTGCGCTAAGTTCGGTTGCACTTCTCGTCTCCACACTGTTTTGATTTTAAAACTTGCCTTTACTGACTCGAAAGGCACTCTTGGTCTTTGCGTACAGTCAAATTTTATGGCAATTTCGTTTGTCGACGCTAAAAAAAAATTACAAAATCAAAAGTGTTTTCCAGTTTCGCCAATAGGTTCGAAATAAGTACACTTACTGATCAATTTTTTGGGATCGGTGGATCACTTATTAATAGATGGTTTGATTTGATTGCTTCCAGAGGAAAATTGACCAGCAACGGGATTCATTTGGACCCAGAAGAAGAGGGTGTCTTTTTTATGTTTCCTCCTTTCTCCGTGTCTACGCCCACGTCAATAGTGGTCTACAGATGGAAACGCAGATTCCGTTCGCCCCCACTTCAAGAGCACGAGGCGATTGTGAGCAGTGTGATTGAAATCGCAACAAACAGCGGCCCAGCACTTAAATTCAATCATTCAGTACAACTCTTCCTCTGTCACAGTGCGCCGGACCTGGCTGGCTACGAAATTGTCATTAAAAAGCTGGTTGACACTAAGAACAATATTTGGGAAGATGTGGATGTAACAAAGGACCTACAAAATGAGTCAGGTGCTTTTTCCCTTAATAAAACTTCCTCCCATCCACCTTTATTTCAATAAACATTTTCTAGAACTGATAACTGTAGATTGCAAGTAATAATTGATTCATGTTTTTTCTGTTCATGTGATTAATTGACAAACCTTGGGTGCCTCCCATTGCGACCAATTCAAACGAACGAGTGTCGCAAAGTGCTCTTGCATCTGTTGATTTGTATGTAAGCGTTATGGTTTAATTTGGCCATTTTGTTGATTACAGATGTTAGAAATTACCCTTCTCTCGCGGATGTTGAGGACTTGAACCTTCCTGTTGCACTTACTGACATAAGTGAATGTACGACGTATGCAGTTGTTTGCCGTCTCAGATCGTCTCCACCTTTCACCATCACATCTTTTGGTGGTTCCTTTAACCATCCTGACTATCCAGATGTGACTGTAACAATCCCTGAGAATGCCGTGCCAAGTGGAACAAAGTTTTCTGTACAGCTTCAGGTAGACATGGCTACTATTATCTGCTATTTAGTTGAACAAGAGAGCAAATGGCAGAAAGAAAGCCAAGCCAGTTATCAAGGTTTTTAGCCATTTTCCGACAAAACATTAGTTGGGATGTTGGGCATAAAAAAATAAATGTTTTCTACATACAAGTCTTCATCTTTTAGTAATTAAAGTATTCTGTTTAATTGCTGCTTAATATATTTTGTAAAATACATTTCAAGTAAGCCCTCTTCCCTGTGTATGCAAGATTTCAAGACAAGATTTTGATTTTTGGAGGACTGCTTAAACGCGCGTAATCGGGTGAAGAAAATTGTGAGTATGAGTACCCTTTTTTTACATACTGAATCTTACAGGTACAAGAGCTCCCAAGTGAAACTGAGGGACAGGGTCTGTGTTATGGACCTGTACTACGAATCAACTGCTCCCAAGTTGTTAATTTCCTAAAGCCTGTCACAATTTATTTGCCGGTGTCTTTACGAGGCGAACCAACGGGAATTCCGAATACCTCGCTCCGTGTCAGAGTGTTTTTTCGGAATTGCAATAGTGAAGATAAAGAATGGACGGAAATCACCCGCGATCTTCGAGACCCGGCACATTTTGATGGGAAATTGGTTCAGTTCCAGGTTGACCGCTTCTCTGGGTATGAGTATTAGCTTCTTCAGGCTTTCACTGCTAATAGTGGCATAAGTACAATAATAAAAAAAAAAATTCAAATGCCAAAGAGGTTTTAACTGAAATGATAACAACACAGGATTTCATCCACAGATTTAAACGCTAGACTAACAAATCATCCCACCGTAACTTGGTGTAGGAATGAAGGAGTTAAGCAAGGAGGGCAAAAACGCAGCTAAATCTCCCTCTTCCAAACCTCTTCACACAGGCTGCATCCTGCCGTAACGATATGCATATCTTGTAGGTCAATTTAAACTCTGTGCGCGGAAAAATTTCGCGTGGCTATAAAAGGTTTTTCTTCCCTCACACTCATTGGTTAATCAGTGATCAACCTGGCGGGAAAAGTACCTTAACGTTCACAGGCATTTCCTTTTCTGCAGGAGATGGTTAAGCCGAGTCTCTACTTTTTTTTAAAAAATGCTCAATTATAAAATTGATTCTTAGCAAGTATGTCCAGCGGTGTAATCATAACTTAATATCAAATCGTAATACTCTTATTGCGTCATTCTAATGCCAAACCTTGTGGCTCGCGCAAACCATTCCAAATTATTTTTTTATGACTGCCGTGAACTGGCCAATAAAGACCCAAATCACAAATAACACGTGATTGTAGGACTCCCTTGTAGTCGTTTGTCCAACAACTATTAATTGACCCAACAAAAGGGAGTGTAGTTAGTAAAATGTGTATGTCAGTTTTTCGTTTCTCAGATGATGATTTACTGCCCAGCATCTGCTCGTAGCATTATACTTACAATTTTTAACCTCTAGTTCTAGGGCCTTATATTTTAATCAGTCAGTTAAATTGATCTACTCTTATGTTTCTCTCTTCTAGTTATGTGATTGGTATGGAAAACGAGAACAACGAAACTGGCGATGTCGCTAAAGAACTTAGTAAGCGGGCCGAGAGAGTGCCCTTAAGAGCGGTTTTCTTCGCTTTCTTTCGTCCGAAGTCCAGAGAAGTTATAGTCCTTATATGTTGTCCTAAGCACCTTAGAAAAGAGGTGTTCATGGAGCTTAAGGAGTATCTGCCAGAAATGCCAAGCGAGGGAAATTCGAGAGAATCTTTGATACCAGACCAGGACAAGGCGTTTGTATTTGCCTCTGGTGGAGTACGCGCATGTGAACCGGAAGAACCGAAGATTTATCTGGAGTAAGCGTACATACTAATAGTTAGGAAAATCAAATGAACTAAACGGTATCAGTTGAAAATGTCTAATAAGCCTTGTAGTATGAAATAAGTATTAGTCAAAAGGAAATCGGCCTTTGTTTAATGATTATTTCAGTCGTCATGCTGTCGAATTCACTTAGCTCATTTCGGCAGAGGAACGTACGGCCGATGAGTTATCTCCCCATTAAATTTGTTTGTCTTTAATAACAAGGGATGCTGCATTTCATCGTTTTACAGGGTTGATGACGAAGAGCAATACAAGCAAGAGTTGAGAGTTGTTGTGCTTGATAACGATACTTTGGCAGAAGTTGAATTTCGTACCGCCTCGAGTCAAACAGTCGGGTTTTTCCTGTGTAAATTGCACTTAGATATCCCTGTAAGTTGTATATATATTTTTATCACTTTAGATTTAGCGTTACAACTGAGACATCATTCTATTCCGGGGAATTATTCACTTAAACCTGGTGTTCATATGATCGTCCGAATCGCCTCTTGGCGTCTAGTTAATGTACGGAGAAACACCAGACTCGTCAAAAGCATTACGGTTAGACGCTCGGCATACCTCACCCAAGTAAGATCCCTTATTGGCTATGCCACGCAAATCTGGACTCCGCAGTCAATAGATCTGATTCAAAAGCTCGAACGTGTCCATAGGCGCGCTACAAAAGTATATCCTGAGATCCTGCATCTGCCATTCATTTGTGACCAAACATATAGGGACGGGCTAATGGAACTTGTCTTATTATAGATCTCCTACTGGCACGAGTTTTAAGACATGATTTTCTTTTTTAAAGTTGGAACCGGCATAAATCTAATAGCAACCGTAATGTTACACACTTTGTTTCAAGGAAACGTAATACTGTCACTTTTCAGAGATCTTTTTAAAATAGAACCACCAGAATCTGGAACACCCTAGCAAATGACCTTTAACATTCATGCAACCTTCAGATCAGTCAGTTCAAATCTATCATGTATAAGTACTGTGTAGATGCCTTAGAACATAACTACGACCCAGAGAACCCACGATCCTGGAAAACCATATGTCCGTCATGTAACGTTTCACGTAACGTGTTTGTCCGTCTTCGTTGTTGCTTTTAATTGTCATATGTAGTTGTACTGTTTTTTACATATTTTTTGAGCTCTAACTAGTCGTTTATTATTTTTTGTTTCAGTATATACAGCACTTAACAGTTTTTCTTTATTATGCAATAGGCGAAGCTAATAGAATAAAATAAAAATGAAATAAAAAATCCCTGTTTTATTACTGTAATGGATTGACGTCATTAAATTAGGGAGCTTGAACAACGACGACGACGGCGAAAGTGAAAACGTCGCTGAAAAAATTAATTTCCGTTCTTTCAAACTTAATCGCGTCTATTTGTATCCGCCCAATTTGTCAAATGTAGACGATTTCTCCTGAAGATAAATTCTTAAGGACATAATATCCAAGTTATGGCTCAGTCAATTCCAAGTGTGCCTATTCTCCCTGGGCATTTGTCGGGTATTTGTCATTTTGTTTTGAAAAAGCTGCAAATGCCCCACGGTGGCGTTCGGCTGTTCATACAAACTGACCCCAGGGTTGGGCTTAAAAAAGGGTTCAAATGCCCCACCCTGGGACAACGACAGAATTGCATTTTCCTGTAAATAAGCTGCTAATTCCATTCTTAACAGGCAATACATAACTTAAGAATAAAACATTTTTTTTCCAATATATTTATAATTTATAACAATAACGGTGTTTTTAATATCATTTACTTTACGATTACACATTTATACCGCATTTGGAAACTCTCGACAAAGGACTCGAAAATTTTTATCATCAACACTACCATCCATTCTAATAACGAAATTGCAGTTAGAATGAGGAAATTGTTTATTTTACTGCCATTCCCAGCATTTCATCGCTGGACCACCGTTAGCGGCTAAAATATGCAAATTTTAGATTCTGTTTCACAGGTTTTTTAACGATCGCTAAAAAGTACTTCGGGTCATCAAATCCTAGACTGTTTGCACTCATTTGGAAGCATATTACTTCTTCTTATGTCCCAATACCATTTAGGCATTATGTTTCTGTAATGAGCAAATACTGGTCGTCTTTATTTCACTAAACCAATAAAGAAAGCATAGTATAACAGACGCACCGCATGCCTGTTTTCTTATCACGGGAAACTAAGGGAGATTAAGAATCTACGACGACGACAACGACGACAACGTCAAAAAACAATTGGTTTTATGAGCAAAACAACAACTCTGCACGTGCATCACGCTTTCTAGTACATTTCTTTGACGTATACTGCGCACGACTACGACGTGAAGCCTCCCAATGCGACGTTTTGTGGAGGACGTGGACAGACGACGAAAAAAGTCGCCTAGATTTTACGAATTAAGCGGTTCCACATAGGCGCGATAAAGTTTGAAACGACGCAAATTCATTTTTCTAGTGATGTTTTCACTGCCGTCGTCGTCGTTGTTGCTTAAGCTGCCTATTGAGGGCCTTACGATCCGACAACGGCGACAAAAATGAAAACGTTGCGGAAAAATAGACTTTGCGTCCTTTGAAACTTTTTCGCTCTTGCACCAAGTCATCCAGTTGCTAGAAGGTAGGGTAGTTAGGTTAGAACTGAAGAGAGGGGACAGCGCGCGAGTTCAGAGAGAGATAGTGACATTCATTGCCTTGCCGTTCCCGTTCTCAAGTCATCTCAAAATTTGGTCATTTCGCGTCGTAGTTGTGCCGGGACGCCTAAGAAATGTCCAAAAAACGCGTGATGCACGTGCAAAGTTTTTTTTAAAATTCTATTTCAATCTATATCAACACTTACACAAATATTAAAAAAAAAATACGATACTTTACAATAAATTGCAGTACACTGTATTACAGTCTTGCTACAAAAGTACAATAAAATGCGACTCTAATGTTGAGTATAACCTTACTAATTGAATTGAGATATAGCTAGCGAACAAACTTCTTCTCAATAAAAGGTTTCCATTTATTATAATAATATTCAAGTGAGTTAACGCTTACTGCAATTTTTTTTTCTATCTCGGCTTTGTTTGCGACTATAGTTAGATAAAACGTACAACTTTTGTACGGGCAAAGTTGTTGTTTTGCTCAAATAAACCTGTTGAGTTCTAGACGTTCCCGTTGTCTTTGCCGTTGTCGGATCCTAAGGTCCCTATTAAAAGCAACGACGACGGCGACGTCAAGAGAACGGCAACCAAAACAACCACTTTGCACATGCATCACGTTTTCTTTACATTTCACATTTGAAGAAACAGTTATTTTTTTCCCACAGACTGCGACACCTTTGCGTAGGAACACTCACTCCAGTGCTCACGATGCACCGCTCCCTGTTCATGGTCCAGGAAACGTAACAACAGTTCCATTGCCTCACTATCCTGCTGGTAAGGTTTCCTTTTTTTCCATCCCTGTCAAAACTCCAAAAAAAATTCTACAATTTGATAAACGCCCTGACAACACTAGTAAGACAATGATACGGACTTCCGGCGGCAAACAATTCCAGAGAAAAAATTTCCACTCGAACCGAGCGTCTCGATCGAAATTTCCAGGTAATTCAGCACAATGGAAAGCACTCCAAGTATGCCTTTGCCATTTATTTCAATACACAGTATTTACGGCCAAATACGTGAGCCGGGCTTACCCGCTTTGCCGTTTTGCCGAGATTTTAGCACCCTAAATTCAACTTTCAAACTCGTTCCCAGGGTTGGCAGGGTTGTTAAACTTGGTGATTACATGACAATAGAGATAGCCCAGCAACCCAACCCGGATCATGTAATCAGGCCCTTACTCTAATAAACTAACAAAAAAAACCCTACCAATCAATGAGATTCCTTCGTAAGAGAAAAAAAATCAAAATTTGATGCTTTTTATGCTCTTCTTCTCATTTTTTACTTTCATGCGATTTCTTGCGGCTGCAGTTAAGGAGGGCATTCCATCAGACGAAGATCTGGAACGCCTGTCAATGAAAGTTGAAAAGTGGAAACCGCTTGCGCGTCGGCTACTTGAATCCTCAGAATTAGAAGCACTTCACAAGGACAACGAAGAATGGTCTGAGAAAGCATTTGCTATGCTAATAAAGTGGAAACGAAAAAAAGGTTCCAAGGCTACTTACCGTTGTTTATATGATGCCCTCTGTCATGATTTAGTGAATCGAAGAGATTTAGCGGAAAAATTTTGTTGTAGCTGTTCTAAACCTGAAGGTTAACTGAAGAGTTGTAAATCATATACAGGTGAGGATTTCAAACGTCTTATTTGAATACTCATTTTTTAACATTTCAGGTTTCAAAGCTTTTTACTCATTTAGAACTCAAGTCCCATTTACATTATCAATTCTTTGGTGGTGTAAATGAAAGGATGTGGAAATGGTTTCCCATGTTACCAAAAAAAACATGTCGCATGTTTTCATTTACACCGCTACTAAGAAAAACGCGTCCAATTTCCGGTAGAGTGGTACCATGTGAAGGTACTGAGGGGGGTGGAGAGGGGGTGAGTTACGGCTTCTTTCCTTCTCCACGTCTAGAAGAGGTAAAGTGAGCTTATTGTGGAGTTTATAACATCCTTTTTGAAGTGACGATTTTAAACCTAGCGTAACAAGTATTATCCTTGTACAAGAATACTCCGCGACATTTTTAAAGTGCTTACTTTGTTTTGCCTGCACCTAACATTGTTACGCGCAGGACATGCGTTTCGTCTGATTTCATCCTTCTGTTTACTTTACAGACGAAGTTTGAAGACAAACTATCCGTCTAAGACAGATAATTCGTCTTGAAGTCTGCACGCAGGCAACTTGAGTTCACGTCAGACGGAAGTTTAGAACTAGAAAGGGTGCGTTGCCCTCTGGAAAGAAAAAGATGGCGCCCGAAGTGCTGGCAAGGGAGGCAAAAACGAAACCATTACCCCACCAAAGATGACTAGTCTCTTTTTTCTTTCTTTCGTTTTGGATTCCAAAGGGTTTGCTCCAGCAGCACACTACTCGATGCATAACCCCTTCAGGGTCGGCTGCGCTCTAAAGCGTTTCCAGAGTGCTAAGTTTAAGCTTTTCGATAAGTAAGCGATGGAATGGTAACCGCGCCACAGCCTCAAAGGCACTAAGACGGTAAATATACCAGACGGATTATCCGTCTCTAGGGTGAAAACAGCCATTGGGCTTGATTCATGATCTTTTTATATAACGGCGGTTCGTAGTTAGTGATGGACTAAAATTTTTTCAGATCTACGTGACAAAGGAGGTCAGCGAAACAAGAACACTGAAAAGAGATTAGCATAAAGCAGAGCGGATGACTGAAGGTACGCTAAATGTCATAACTTTAATGAAATCCACACGCAGGACAACAATACGCAGCATTACAGTCTGTATTTTGTCCTGTCCAACCCGGTGGATTAAAATAAGTTTGTTCAAGAACCTAACCCCAACCTATAACCCTAAACCAAGACTATTACGACTGGAGCGGAGGACTAGGAAGAATTATATGCAGTTTTGCATTATTGTACAAGACTCCACACAAAACGTATATTAAAAAAAAAAAAGAAAATCACGAGATCTAAGAGCAAAGGTTCCTTGCAATGCATCCTTCTCCTGGTCTGTTAAGTAAATTTTCCAGGGGAGATATGCAATTATTACTTCTCGATAAGACGAAGACGCATTACATTGGTGAAGACGAAACCTTTGCGTTTTCAAAGACCATAGCAAATTGTGAATATATAATTATCTACTTCCCTCAGAGCTTTTTAGGGATAAATTGCAACACTGGTTGGGGGACTTTTGACAGATTGCTTGTGGTGCAGTTTACAATTAATGAGGTGATGAGTTCATGACAAGAGAACATTTCTCTTGGTTATAAATGCCCCCAAATATGAATGTGAATTTAAGAAAGACCACTACAATGCGTACTACGTTCACCACATTTTACGACTAATGTGTAGCTTCTTTAACATCCCACTGAATATGCAAAAGTTGTGAGACGGTACCTACGGTTTATCGTCCTTATCCGAGAAGACTAGAAAGTCTAGCCGTTTGCAGATGTCATTGCAAAAGCAACCGGTCTCCTTGATAGTTATTTTAAAACCCCGAGTGTTGCTCTGACCAGGGTTTGAACCCTCGACCTCCTGCTTGGCATACCGGCGCTTATCCAACTGAGCTAACCGGGCAACAATGTCGTCTAAAATCATCGGCCTTCACTGTAGCATCATGTTTAGTTTTATGATTTTTATCTCTAACCTTTTCTCTCTACAGCCGGTTTGGTTTTAGCAGCGGCTGCTGCTTCTGTAGCTTATGGATTCAGCCATGGTCTGGCACCCTTCAGTGGATACACTCTTCTTCGTGCTTATTAACAGCATTCTTGGCTCCTCCCTTGATCTCTACAACCATCATCACAGCCCCGTCGACCATCTCTAACACTGCAGAAGGATTCTTGGGTAGCGATCCTTAGCTCGTTGGTGGTTGTGGCTCGTCTAAACTTACACTGGACGAACTTGGGTTGGAGAGTTGGTTCCTGAATTAGGTAATAAGGCCGGAATTTCGAAGGCTTTCTTGGATCAAATTTATATTATTATTAAACAACACTGTTTAGGGAAAGGTCTTGAGCTTCGCTGGGTTGCGAAGTGGACAACTCAACGCTGAACCCCTAAGTCAGTAATGAAGAGCGTTAGTCAGGAATCATCTACACTGAGGATGCTTTTGTGACTCAGAGTCCTCAAACTTGTTGACAGGATCGTCATTTAACTTAAGTGGGATTTTAGATTGTAAGACACAGTGAAGGCAGTTAAAAGAATATAATTACAATCATTGATTAGTCAGGAACAAGTTGAGCGAGATTATGAAATGGGGTTATGGGGTCTGTCAGATCAATGCTATATAGGCTGCTGTTAAATATATAACGTTAGCTGTTTATCTCCCAAACATAGGCCGTAACATTTTGCTATGTCAACGTGTTGAAAAGCAATTTCGTTACTTGTTAAAGTATAAACGTGTACAAAGGTTTGAACTAAAGTTTCCGCGAGATAAAACCTTTTTTGTATACTTTACAGAAGACGAAGCCAGGATCGGTCCGATTCCCAGCGTTTGTCCGCTAATGAGGAAAGGAAGTTGGGTTCATGAAACCTTCGTTGGATATTGTTACTAGACAGAGGTTAGGAGTAAGGCTTTATAGATTAGTCGCCTGATCTGTTACAAAATTATTGATAGCAGAGTTATCCAGCTTTGCTGGTTTGTATGAGTGTAATTACGATGCGTTTCCTCCTTACACCCGTAACGGAAGCGGAGATGATTGATACTTAGTGACAAAGGGCTCCAGAGAGATCGGTTTTACCGGCATGTTTCACTTAAGCTGATCATTTTGCGCAAGCGTTCTGCTCTTTTTGTCTACACGGTCAGATGGTTATCCCACAAACGCCGGCAGGCGTACCCTAGCAGGGATTTGCTGCACAAGCCTTTTAGCTTTGAAGTTTGTCGTTTAAGATCTAAAGTTCTCTTAATATATGTGCTCCAGTAGAGCCCGTTGGCCCAGGGCGACTTACTTGTGTCCGTACAAGGAATCTTGGCTTCAGCAGAGAAAAAAACCGAGCACTGAGCACCCTGAATTTCATAGATGCTGCAAGTTTTGTTTAGACTACAGCTTTCCTTACATAGCTTTTTCGACTTAAGGGCCAGTTTTCTTTGTTGATTGTTTATTCCTAATTGTCCCAATCGTTAAAACCCTCACACGAACCCGATATCTATTAGCTCTCTACGCGGACGTATTTTCGTACGTCGCGCAACTCTTTATCCCAGTTTGGAAGGACTGTTGCGTGACTGACATTTTTGTAAACCACGATAGTGTACGTAGTTGAGTAATCGTGGAGATGATGATCTGACCACTCAGAGAAGGTCACACGTCTGAGGTGGTTTAGGGAAGAAATTCTCCTTTGTGGTCTCCTTTTCACAACAAAGTGAATAATTTTCTTTCGGCTCGATTATTAGCCTCATATCATCTTGTTTTTCTTTTTTCACACACGCAGACTTTGGCGGAGATGCGGAGGAACTCTCCACCCAGCACTCACGATGCACCATTTCGTTTTCACGGTCCAATCGCGCTGGTAAGGTTTCCCCCCAACACAACTGTAAACTAAATTCTGGAATTTAACAATCTCCCTGATTGGTTAAAACACTAGTAAGTCAACGAACAGGACTCCACTCATTTTCTGCTCTAACAGGGACCTGAAAGAGGTAGGGGAGGGGGCGGGGGTACAAAATCCCTTTATCCAGCCTTAATTTTTGTCAAATGCCATTGTCACATTTAAAGGTTGCCTTCAGAATCCCATTCCTAGTACACCGAAAAAAATAATAAGAAAAGAAAGCTAGATCTCATTTTTTTAGCCCCAAAGTTGTCAAATATAAATTCTCATTTTATCCATTCAGTGCCCTCTCACTGCTGTACCATCACGTTTCTTGTACGATCCTAATTTCTTCCTTTTCCCATCTGCAGCGGGCCGTTTTCGCCTTACGTGGTACTCCTGCGGTGCATGAATTCAACCACGACATGGCACCCTTCGGTGGATATCGCCCTTTTCATGTTAATCCACAGTATTACTCCTCCCCCTATCGCAAGCAAGACCTATTATCACAGGGCTCCATCCACCATCTTTACCCCTTGGGTAGCGATCCGTATCCTGGTGGTTCTTATGTCTACCGTCACACATCCGTCGGAAATGCAGGAATTTTGTTCCCCTCGTGGAACGCTGGGATGCCTGGGAAGGCCACCACATGGACTGCAGCTGGTTATGGTTTGTCAATCGACACCCTTCAGAATTACGCGCCTCGTATGGAACGCCGCCTAGTCCGTCACTGCATGAATTGCAGCCGCACCATACATTTCCAGACGCTTCTTATCTTAGTGGTTGTGGCCTGTCTACAGTCACCCACCTATCAGGTATCTCCGGGCGTTCTTCATCGTCTGGAATATAAAAGGCCGCCACAGTATGAACTGCACCCGCAAAGTTTAATTCCAGGCGATCTGCATCATAGTGATCCTGCTACGTCTTCGGTCACTCGCCCGTCAGTAATCCGATTTCCCTTGTGGGGAACCCTAAGACCCCTACATGGAACTCATTCACAAAATGTAATTCCAGGCGTTCCTTATCTTAGTGGTCCTGTTGCGTCTTCAGGCACACATCGGCCAGTAATTCCCGGACGTTTTCCCCCGTATTTAACGCTGAGATTACACCCGC